TCTTTGAAGGCCTAGCAGCAGCATTCATGGTGATATTCGGAAGCAGCATCGTCTACTACCTATAGTCCACTTGGTTTCGTTGAAAAAGCGATTTATCAGTTGGGGTACTTCCCTCGTAAGTTCGACTTCTAAGGATAATGGTAGAAATAACGGCTTTCCTTTCGTTCTGAACAAAACCAAAACAAAGAAATGAGTAAAACATTTTCTGAGGTCTATGCGATTGTACTAATAATACGGAATTTTTGTATACGATGAAAGTCTCTCTTTGTTGTCTTTGCAACTTTACAAGCTAGATTCTGCCATTGTTATAAGGTGTCAATACTGAAAAAAATAAAGTGCTTTTGACACATAATTAGTAATTTTTCGAAATAGCATATTCTTCCTTAAAGTGGCGCTCAAAAGTTTAGCACACTTTTTATTTCCTATTTTTTTCCGAAACGAAAGAGTTTCAAAAAGTTTCAAAGTTTGCTATAGATAGCCTATATCCTAGGCTATCATAAGCATGTAAAATGTGCGGCTACAAAGAAGCACTGATATTTCAGGAAACAAAATACTTTCCCTATGGACCAAAAGTTTAGCACACTTTTCTTTATTTTCAACTTTTTCTCATTTTATGTTAGTTTAGAAAAATTGACTTATACCATTCAATAAAGAAGTTTATGCTCTACATTTTCATAAAAAGATTTGTCAAATATCTAGTTAGTTTGAAATTTTAAGTTTTCTGGAAAGTGGACGAAACTTTTTTCCAAATCTCGGAAAAAACACAATTTCTCCACATGATTGTGGAGAAAAATAAATTCCAAATACTTCATACTTATAACTTCTGAATGACCGGACATATCGAACTCGGGAAAGTATAAATATCGATGACCATATAGGTCCTGTCATTCGAAAGTTATAAGTAAAATACGAAACTGTCCAAAAAAATGCTCTAAAAACTGCCATCTTACAAATGCACGTCAAAAAATTGAACGAATTAAACAGACGCAGCCGGCGTTAAGCTGAAAGCTTTGCAAAGATCAGGTGAATTTTATTTTCCAATGTGTTGTACACCATTGGATAGAGAATTCAACGAAGATCATGAACATCACTACCCCGTCTCCCAAAACCCTTTCGTCGCCGAGATATCCTCTAAATACTGAGAGGGAGTCAAAGCCCAGTTTTAGAGCTAGAACTTCGGAAAGTACTTGGCTAGATTCAGTTTTCAACGCTGAATCCGAATATCCTAGCTGCAAAGCTCCATGACATTAGGGGGCCAAACTACAGAGTTTTTTCGAAAAACGAGCATTTTTTGGGATTTTGACTCCCTCTCAGTATTTTGAGGATATCTCAGCGAAGAAACCGTTCTGGGAGTTGGGGTGGTGATATTCGTGATCTCCGTTGAATTCTCTATCGAGTGATGTATAACACATTGGAAAATAAAATTCACTTGATCTTTGCAAAGGTTTCACCTTATTTCTGAAAGTACCAACTGAAGTAAGGCATAATTTTGTAGAGAAAATGGTGCTCTATAAATTTAAGCTAGTTGGGGATTTTCTTCTGTTGTTTTGAATACCCATATTTTGAAAATTTAAAAATTGGCGCCGATTTTGTTGTCTATAGGTTATTCAAGAAGGGTTTTCAAACGATATTAATTTGTGTCTGAAAAACATTTTGATCCAACGATTTTGTGTAATCTTTTACGTTCTTTCGAATGATATATTTGCAATTTATTTTTCTCCACATTTTTGTGGAGAGATTATGTTTTCTCCGAGATTTGGAAAAACAATAGATATTTGAAAAATCTTTTTATGAAAATGTACAGCATAAACTTCTTTATCAAATGGTATGTAAGAGAGATCATCTCGGGCCACGTTTTTACGGCCCGGTCCGTGTCCGAGCTCAAGAATTTTGGCCCGACCCGGAGTGAACGCATACATTTGTCGGATCGGCCCGTACGTGCCGGTCCGCAGGATAGTTCGTAGAATCCAGATTAGTATGGAAACATAGGAGATATTAAAAGCGCTGGATTTTGGTAATATATCAGTAGATATAAGCTTATAGAAACATGAAATCCGTTAATCTCTTTGTATTTTCCTTTAGTTTGTCCAGTTATGTTTTAGATAGACAGGTATTTGTTACTGTTTTATTATAAAGTATCCCGCAGTCTGTTTGAATAGATAAGCAATATTTTGACACAGCATTAATCGATTTACCACAATGGAATTTTGTCATTCAAAATTTCACAATCCCTTAACTGACCGAAAACAAAATAACTAAAAATAGCAGAACTCTAGCCAGTAGCTTTAGCAGTATCTAGAACAGATACTCAACGAACAGTCAACTTCGTCAGCGACATTTTCAAGTGACGATAGTGTCGTTTTCTCACATTTAATATGAGTGTTGCCTCTCGATGTTGTCTTGTAATTTTATCGACTTTGTGGAAGAAAGGCTGGGCTCGCATGTGAGCCATCAAACTGCAGCCGGCCTGTAAACAAGATTCAAAAACGTAGGCCCGTGGGTCTCCATGGGTTTTCCCGGCCCGTGACGATCTCTGGTATGTGCATTTGTAAGCACATTTTGTAGAGAAATTTTGTTTTTTCCAAGATTTGGAAAAAAGTTTCGTCCACTTTTCAGAAAACTTAAAATTTCAAACTGACTAGATATTTGGAAAATCTTTTTATGAAAATGTAGAGCATAAAATTCTTTATCGAATGGTATGTAAGTCAATAAAATCAAGAAAAGTCTGCTAAACGTTTGAGCGCCACTTTATGTTATATACTTTATTTTAACGATGGAAGATAATCAAAGGAAACAACCAGTCGAATAAGTAAATAGAACAAAGAAGAAAGAGAAAACCTATTAACTATTTGAGCTCATAGATAGATAAATACTTATTCAATACTCTGATAAACTATAAGAAAGTCAAAGATTCCCGACGAAAAGGTTTTGATGTTAGAAAACAACTGTTTAGACCTAATCTGCAATACAAATTTTCATATTTCGAATTGGTTTTAAAATGTTAGATTAGATTAAGATGGTGCCACCAAACGGCGGACTTTCCGGATTTTTTCTTCTCTGAAAAGTAGTATTCCAGCTCGATGATAAAAATTTCTGACGCGGAGCACATGCAACGTTTTGAATGCTAAATTAACACTCTATCAGTTAATTCTAAACCCATCTGACAAATCTCTCATACACTCTACTTGAAACACCATTCTGACCAGAAAGCGTCATCAGCTCTTTGCTGTTGTTAAAATAATATTAATAAGTTTACTAACGATGACAGTCTAGCTTACTGGTTTCTTTTTATTAAATAAAGTATGACAAGTATTTGTTCTCATATTGACGAATATAGAGCACAGCTGATTCTATTCCCAGAGAGAACAACATGTTTTCACAGTAAAATCTAATGTTCTAAAAAATTAAAAATGCACAAAAGTGTACCATTTATATGTTTCTTATTATTACTGCTGCTTTTGTCAACTGTAGTTGAACCTAGCAAATCATGTTCAAGTGATGTTGAAAAAAGAGACATTTCTAAATCAGTTCGATATACACATGGCCTTTTCAAAACAACCCAGTCAACTCTGACCATTGAGCAACACACAAGTCCATTTCGAAATTCAAAAATCGAATGGATTCGAAATGTCACATACCAATCGCAGTTTGTAGATGTAACGACGTATGATCAAGATGTAATTTTATCCGAGTATGAATATAGTCCAATAGGCGGTTTGCGTATTGCTCGTGTAACACCTGAAAATCAAGTCGTGTGGAATCATACCTATGATTTAACGCCTCAATCGTCCATCGTTGTTGTTCACAAACAGTTGGAATGTATTTGGTTTGCTCAATTCTCAGAATTAACCAATTCGTCTTATCTCGTAGGTCTGTATGCGACGAATGGAACCGTTCGACACAATTTTACTATATCAAATTATATTAAATTTCAAGTGGATTTACAATCTGCGCACATCTGTGCCATATCCTATGATTATCACTGGCAAACGCCTAACTTCACACTACAATGTTTTGATGCATCATTGGACATGGAACAATTATTGTGGACAACAAATTTAACTATGGGAGATAAAGTAGGCAAGTTCGGTGCATTCGCCTCGTCCCCAGCAATAAATTCAAAAATCAAACGTGTATATGTTTCGACGATACCTGGTTTCATTTATCCGGTTGGGTACGGAAATAATTCTCTGATTGGAATTGACCTTGACACTGGGAAATTAGTCTTTCAGAACTGGTTATATACGGCGGCACATTGGTTGGGAATCGGCCATCCTCTATCATCGGCAAATGCTGATGGAATTGTTTACTTGTCGGGACGAACATTGATGGCATTCAATGGCAAAAATGGTACGTTAAGATATTTGCGAGCTCGACCAGCCACGTATGACGAACGTGTGGATAGTACGGTGAATGATACGAGTATTATCAATATTAATTATCTCGGTAAGCATCAGGTTACTCCTCTAGAGTTTAAATACGAGTGAAGGATTTTAGGTGATTTTACATATCGACAAATTTTATCGTTGTGGGACGGTGACAAGGGACAACTACTGTGGAATGTCAGTGTGAGCAACAACAATTTCTACGTAAATTATCCAGTGACGACTACTGTTCGCCCACGTGACCATTTACATTTGACTGCACAAGATAATCTAATCATTGGTCGCTTGCCGTTGTCAAATGAACCAGTTTGGACGTTTAATACATCGGTAGCTCAAGGTCGTGTGGCACGTCTAGGTGTTACTGACAAAACACTGTTCGTTGTGGTTGTATTCTATGAACATCAAGAATTATGGAAAATCTCTCTACCAGAACCGTTTGTTCTACAGCAGCAAGAAAAACGTTCATTTTCATCCAACTATACGCAATGTGGTGCCTATTGCACTAACTACACTGATTGTCTATCATATTCTTGTAGTAAATGTAGTAATAACCAATGTGTCACAGCAGATCCCTTTCCGAGTTCGTGTCAGAACGAGGGCGACTGCAATCAAATGATCACCACGTGTCTTAGTGGATCTTGTCGGACAATGTGGCCAGACTGTGGTGGATTATGCAATGGTTATTGGGCAAAATGCTCTTCTGGTGATTGCTCACGCTGTTCTGGATATGATTGTCAGTCTTAACGTTTTTGGACTTGTCGTTTGTCTTCTTATGAATTCTCGCAGTAGTATTATTAATCACAAATACTGACTAGAGATAGATTTCAAGTCACTTACTGTCGGTAAAAGAAAAAGAATGGACTCGAATATTTTCTGAATGACCTTTGAGAAGAAAGTGATGGGGACTTCTGGTTTTCACGAATTAACAGCCAAGACCTGAGCAGATCTTTCCATTACGCAAGTCATTTTCAAATTTTTTTCCAAAGTAGCTTTCCAGAGGACCTTTGGGAAACCAGGCCATTACTCAAAAGCTTGACATATTAATATGTTGATTTTCCCACATGGATAGCTCAAAGTACCTTTTAAGGAGCGGAATTGAAAAATACGAAATTTTAAAACTTTAAAAACCGTAAAATTTAATTTAAAAGCCAAAAAAAGAGACAATTTAAAAAATCCTCTTAAGCGAGGTGTTGCAGGACTAGAATCTTGTTACTTAGCGCGGCCTTGAAATCGCATAAAATATACATACAATAAACTTCGCTGAATCTAGTGGCAATGTTTGCTTTGGGGAAAAAAGTGAGAAGTCTAGTGAAAACCGAGTTTTACAAAAACTAAGGTTCCAGATTGTTTTCACCTAATATTAAAAAACTTACAATTCACTCAGAAAATATCAGATCAACTTCATAATGCAGAGTATTTAGGCTATTTTGGACTAACCATATAGATGTAGTATATATAGCAAAATAGTTTCTGAAAGTTTGCACTTATTTGGAGTTGTAGAAGAGTGTGGAAGCGTGTGGAAGTGTGGAACACATGTTATTGGAAAACCCTTAGCAGAAAATGAAAAATTATTTTTCAGACGCTAATTTAATCAAAAACAAAAGCTTTTTTTATGAATCGATAGCTCAAAGAGTTTAGAATCCGAATATATACTTTCGCAAATTTTAAATTGAGATAATCTAATAAAAAAAATGTTTTTCAATGGAGGTCCCACAAATACAGGATAACTTTTAGTTATGCATATTTTCCGGAAATTCACTACTTATAGCAAAACTTTTTCTGCCATCAAACAGCCCGTAGTCCATGCAGCACTATTTGAATCGTCAAAAAGGGTACTTTGAATTTTCCATCTAATGTCCACATGGTTGCCCACAGTGTAATGGCTAACATTTTGCTAGGTAATGATTCTTTTTATTTTTTTCATTTTTTTATTTTATTTCTTTACACTTTAATTCTCATCTCTCCAGTCCAATGGCACTGAAATCGGGTTACCCCATTGCATCTGTGTCCAAAGATACCGAGACAATGTGCATTAGATAGCTTGTCGAAGACTATCACGTAACCGCCGTTGTCGAGAGTCGAACTCCGTATGTTTGAAGTACGTTGTCTGCCCGCTAGCCGACTGAGCGACGCTGCTCTTCGTCTATCAACAAGATGGTGTTAAAGGTAAAAATTAAAACAGATATTGCCAGAGTATCCAAAAATGATCTCACACACAGCGTAGAAAATTAGTTGTTTCGAATTATTTCGATTTTGGAAACAGAAAGCGCATATGTAAAATAACAGTTCCTTGTGTCCGAAGTAGAACTTCGTCGAATACCACATACTGATTATATTCTGTAAAAGTTAACATTATATCATAATCATCGCTGCAAAACCCCGATGAATTTTTATAAGAAGATACTGAAAAATCTCTAAGATTGAATAAATATGGAATGCGATTTTGCGATCGTTTCATAACAGAAGATTGCTCGATCAAAAATTAAACATAAATGTCAACCTATTTTAGAAGAAATAAGAATACTCAGAAAACTCTTATTGACATTGAAGTGTGAATGAAAATATAAAACAAACACTTTTTATAGAACTTTATCAACTCTTTCTTGCTCTCTCTCTCTCACTCTTAATCGATCATTGTTAGTATATCAATCAAAATGACAGTTTAGTTTTCTTTTCGTTTCTGAAAACTCATTTTTGTTCTCTCTCACCATTTCTTTTTTCTAGTAAGAATATTCAATAACAGATAAGCTATATGTACATTAGAGACTTACGGGCAGCCTTGAATCCCATCCCGTTCCACGAAACAGATGAACTCGGGACAGAAAATAACTTTACAGGCTAGCGTTCACGGGCTTGGAGCAAGAAAAATTTTACGAGGTCGGGACAAGTTGCAGAAAAATGTTGTTCTATTACTATTATCTTTTGGTTGTAATTCTGTTACAACTTCAAATGTTAAATTCCTATAATACATCAAATAATTTTATAATAATGAATAAAAATTAATCTGAAGAGGCAAAATAGTTTAGATTTAAACTTGAGAAGATGCTTTACATCTAAAACTCGGTTTACAGTTCTATTTTTTTTAATTATGAGGTAGTAAGTGGATGTAAAACATTTTTTTAAAAGGAAACTTTTAAGTTCAGAATTAAATATATTAAATTTTATTATGGGCATTTTGCAAAAATAACTTTTGACTTTAAACGTCTATTGTAATAGTTACGATTTATCTTCATAGGAAAAAATTTTCAAAAAGTTATGGGACAAATGAGATCGAACAGAACAACGGCCGTAACTTTTTTTTCACGAGACAGAAGAACTCAGAACAAAAGAAAAGTTTGTCCTTCAGGACTCTACTATACATACATATCGACCTAGAATTAGAAGTATACGGTCTGCCACTCCCCATGCAAGATAGAACAGAAAGAAAAGCAATTAATACATAGAATGATAGAGAATTTCACGGGCTATCAAAATACACAATTACTTTTGTAAAAGAGTGTTCTTATAGTTATAATAATTTGTACAAAATACTGAAGAAGTAGCGAAAAATATGTACTTTTT